ATGTAAAACTTGTATACTGAACACAAGCAACAAACTGTAAAACTGTTTTCACAGTCGTCACGCAGCTTTTGGAAGGCTCAGTGAGCATTTGATGAAGTTTTGACAATCTGGATAACAACAAATGTTTCTAAAACAAATGCCAACCCTAGCTCAAAAGATAGTCAAAAGCAACCATCGCAATGCAACATTTCTGGTCCTTTTCCTTCTGGATAACTTTTTTATGTACACTTTGGGAGTTGGAGTGAGTGAGTATTTTTGTAAGAACTTTTAGAGAATTTATTTGGCTAAATGCGAATAATCTGTCGGGTTAACATGTACGATTAGGTGAAAATTGTCATCTCTGTGGTTGTCAGCACCTCCATGCAAAGCACAGTTAATTACTAATTCACTTTCAATAAAATCACGTCTGTACAGTTAACAATTATGTTCAATATGCCCTGTTTACCTTTGTGTTTAGGTTCTCGGCTTTTTTCGTTGTTGATTGAGCGTTATTTTAAGCCAGACCATGTGAAACACCTGAGAATTTAAAATGACAGGGTTTGAAATTACTTCGTTTTTCCAAAGACTCTGTCATTGACTTAAAGTCATGAACAAAATTAACAAAACTATATACAGCTTTTTCTCGATTTCACAATTAGGTTCAGTTTAATACAGAACAAATGGAAGGTTGAACTGAATTTGACAATGTAATTTACTTCATAAAAGGTAAAGGTACTCAACACTTAGCCTTGTCCCTCCCTTCTTCCTTATGCCAAATTCCCAGCATGCTTAGATAATTATTAGACCGATAATTGGAGAGACTAGCAAGGCTATTAAAGCTGCTTATACCTCCAAATAAATCTAAAGTTGTTAATCACACAGGACAGGTTAGTTCAAATCCAAACACCTTGACATTTATTATTAGTGTCAGGGAATAACTCTGTAAACATGTTTGCCTTTTGCCCTCTGACGCAGATACCCAACCTTGGGCAGCCGCTATCTCCCTTAAAGAGGGGCTGCCCAAGCATTTTGTTGTTGTTACCAGTTTATGACCGGGCAGTTCTTGGTCAGAGATAGTTATTTTTGTGGGACACCTGGAACCCATCCTTCTCGGGGTGTAGATGACCCCGAGCCATAAGCGACAACAAATGTGATTCAGTGTCCTCAGCTGTTTAGTCTATCTATTGATGAATGTTGATTATTACACTCTGAACTAGTTAAAATCTGGAACTACATGAGGGTTCTTCAGATTTGATTGTGGCATCTCTACCGTGTGGTCAAACCGTGGCCCGTGACATGTCTTGTGAATTCTCCGGCCGAAGCTCCACATAAACAGTCAGTGTTTGCCATCAAAGCTCCAGCTCTCCTCGTGTCTCTCTGAGTCCTGACTCCAATTGCTTCAGAAGTTTCCCCTACAATTAGCATATCAGTCACACATGCCTGAAGTAAAAACAGTGGGAAAGATTTCTAATGGTAAAAGCAATTATTGTAGGAAGACAAAGCGTAGTGATTCAGACACTCAAGAAGTATTCAAAATAGATGACAAGATGGAAAAAATAATATCTCCTAAAAGGATGGTTATTGCTGTAACTATTTTTAAAGTGTCTTTTTGTATGACAGTGACATAGGCAAACTGTATGTTTCACTTGGCTCAGCATCCTGTTCTAATGTTGGGATCAGTTTAATCACTTCACCTTGAGTTCAAGCCACATGTTGCCTTCTATTATATTATATATCAAGTCCCCAATTAAGTATTCGTAATTAGTATATATTTGATAGTGATAAGTGTTAATGTCTCAATGCAAATGAAAAGCAGTGAAAAGGCCTGTGAAGTGTCGTAGCAACTTAAAATCAGCTGCTGTCTGCTTTGAGTTAGGCAAATATGCAAAGAAACACAATATCGATATAAAGTATTTTGAGATCATCGTTTTAATGCTTGCAAGCATGACGCCTCCACCAAAGAGAGCGTCCTGTTATGTGTGTTACAGCCACTCTTATGGAAACCATCCTTCCATCTTCTCCCGCTTATCCGTGGTTGGGTCGCGCAGGTAGCAGTTCCAGCAGAGAGCCTCAAACTTTCCTGGCCACATCAACCAGCTCTGACTGGGGGATCCCAAGGCGCTCCCAGGCCAGCGAAGAGATATAATCCCTCCACCTGGTCCTAGGTCTACCCCTTGGTCTCTTCCCAGCTGGACGTGCCTGGAACACCTCCCTAGGGAGGCACCCAGGTGGCATCCTTACTAGGTGCCCGAACCACCTCAACTGGCTCATTTCGACGCGAAGGGAAACATCAAAGATAATTCACATGACAACACAACATGTTGGCCCAGGGTGATCACCCTATGGCAGTAGGCAAAACTCAAGACCTACAAAGAACAATGGGATATACAGATAACCCCTATCGTAAATTCCTTCCACTCATCCTCTCTTCCTGTAGTGTCATAAAAACCCCTTTCAAAGACATCTGTATCACACATCCATTTACATGCCATTCTCAGAATACAACAGGATTACATTATATTAAGCTTTAATACCATAATTGCCATAACAGAAGCATCCTGCCTAACTGTTTGACTATTTAGTGTTTAAACTTGTTTAGGAATGCTTAAAAGTAGGGTTAAAAAAAGAAGAAGTGTATGTTATTACCTGATTGATGTATATTCAGTTAATTATTTTCAGATAGACTTCTCAAATAAACTCAGCATTTGGCAAATTCATAAATAAAAGCAGGAAATTCTGCGATAAGAGCAATGCTGCCTCCATCTGCCGTAGGACAGGAAGTACAGCAGTTTTCTAAATAGGGATTCAAAATGAAAGAAAGAGGACCATCTAAACTTAACTGCAGGAACTCTGATGAACATGTTAAATAAGATGTCCAGAGATGGAATACAAATCAGGGATCCAGCTATATTAATTTGTTGTTCCCACTGCGTACCTCTAACCATCATAATCTGATTTTGTTTTATTATCCTGCTTGAGTGGGTTTCTTCATTAGGTCATAGCAGATGGGGTTTAAATCATATTAAATCCTTTGAATAATTGTAATGCCTGAAGCTTTTATTACAGGTTAAAACAACCTTGGAAATTATTTTTGTATTAAAAAGGCACAAAAATCCATGATTGGTTTGGTCAAAATAAAGATCTTCTGCCCTAAAGAGAGTAGAATATGTGACTGTTCTGTAAAATTAGCCATATGTTCTTCTTTGTCAGAAACCCCACACAGTTGAGCTATTGTGCAGATGGGAGGAGAAATAAAGTCTGTGACCAATTTCCAGATACAAGTTGTGAAGATGAAGCAAATATAAACTTTTTGAAAATCACTGCTGACTTCTTTGGGTAGTCTGTGTTTTATTCAAGCAACAAACCCACTCCTCTGGCAACTGCAATATGTAGGAATGCTGAAATAAATATTTTATGAAAACAAATCTGACCTGGGTTTTTTAAAGTTTAAAATAGATAATTTGCTCTACAACAAAGGTCTTACTGTCGATCTTTCTAAGAGTGCATCCTCTGAGAAAGAGCATCACAATGTTTACTTGGACATTCAGCCCCCTAAAAGAGACAACCAGCAGCAAGTTAGATTAGACTAAAACTGGAAACAGGGTAAAACAACCTAGAACTGTCCGACGGTTACTGCATCTGATATAACAATCATCAGTCTGTTGTATTTTTGTATTTAATCTGTACAAATGGCAAATCACTGTTTTAAGAGGGGTTACGAGACGGACTATTTCTTGGCCCTGAGCTGTTCCCAGGCAACCAGCGGAGACTCCAGGGAGTAACTGGTCTGAGCCAAAATAAAGTTCAGCACATAACCTCTCTGCAAAATGGGGAATTGTTTTACAAGTCCGTTTTACATGTTAATTATTGAGCGTTAGAAGTGCCAGCAGGATAGCCGGTTCTCGATTCTATTCTTGTAATTAGCTACACTTACCAAATGAAACACTCAGATATTGAGACTAGTATTCCTTTTATCACCTAACACTCAGCCAGAGAGAGAACACAAACATATTTCCCATAATGTCAAAACTCATCGCAGGGCTTTCGATCCTAGCCATTAGCAGCATTAGCCAGCATCAGGGTCAAGCAGAACAGCAGAGTAAGAAAGTTCATGTGGAGAAGCTTTAGGAGCCAGATGAGAAGTGCACACCTCCTAACAACTTGAGGTTTGACCATAACACTTTATCTTTAATTTTATCAGCACCACGTCACTATTATTTATTTATATGTACAATTTTAGCAAGTTTTTATATTGTCCTGTTCCTGTAAGCCAGTACAACGAAATTTCGTTTTATTAGTACACTCTGTGTCTTGTTGAAATGACAATAAAGTATGTCTATCTATCTATCTATAAACAAAATATTCCTTAAGGCACCAAAGAGGACATATACAACCGCATTCCTAGCATTCCTCCTGTGTGTCAGTGTCAGAGAAGTTATGACAGGTCTTTACTTTATGTGACCTTAATTACTAGTTTCAGTCAAACGTGTTAGTCAGGCTGGGAAATATTACCAAAAATATGTTGGCATTACTAACTCTTTTTTTTATAAAATAAAGTCAATAAATTCTAACGATGTGGAATCCAAAAAACTGTAGTTTTCTTTTGAGCCAAAGGGATGCTTCATGTCTCCATATGAAACACATGTTGCTATGGATTAAACACATTTACATTTCTCTGTTAACTTCTATTAGTATTGTTCTAAACGTCTTCCCGTTATTTTTACTGTTTCATTCACACATTTATTCAAGGACCAATAAGTACTGCATTGTTGGATGCATCAAAATATTGTATTGAAGATGATGACAGCTATAGAAAACAGGAATGCAGCTCAATTGACTTAACATCCTTGATTTATCGCGTATAGCTTACACTTTCCATCTGACTTCAATGCCAAGTAATCCGGTGGGTTTCACCTCAATACTACTATAAAAACAGAGTTAAATCACGTGCAAAGAGTGAATTTAATGATTTCACGCACCTTCCTATTACTCCTGTTGTCTGGTGGCTTAGCAGGGTAAGTAACCATTGTAAAGCATGATGATTATTGAATAATAATAACACACATAATAATCATTCTAATTAACTCTGCTGCACTGACAGGAGCAGTTTTGATTATCTTGCTGAGACGCCTTGGATCTGTACTCCACTTTCTTATTCTTTATGGCCATAGACTGCAAGCCAGTAAGGAAGGTATCTGGCGTCTCCATCTCCTCCAGTTGAGACTTGGCACAGAAGAAAGGAGGACTGTAGTCCATGGGGTTTGTGTTGCCAATGACCCAGTTGAAGGTGCTGAAACAAAAAATTACTATGTAAGAATCATCATTTACTGTTTGACACTTACAAAACAAGAACCTTAAATCCTTGCACAAGGAACAGCTGAGAATTAACTACTACAGCACAGGGTGTATCATTGTGTCACATTGATGATTGACTGTGATTCAGGGCGAGACATATGGTGTGATCTTAGAGATCAGGTATAATTAAATGTCGTGGCCAATCATGCCCAGACTGAATTCTCTAGAAGTTTAGATTTGATTGATGATAATTCATTGGGGAACAGTTTGTCAGTTTTCCGAGGTACATTTCTGTTTAAAGTATTTAAGCACACATACAGGATTGATTGTAATGGTCCTCTCTCTTTAAATCAAATTTTGTATTTTACAAATCATGATACTGACAGTTTGATAAAACATGATTTTTCCAAACATAAAGCTTTAAAAGGATACAAGTTAAGGGTTAATTGAGTTTTGACAGATACCATTATCATTACATTAGTTTTAATTGGTTATTTTGTTTCTTCTATACTCCAGTGGTTTTGTAAGCCCAGGTTCTCACCTGATTGTGGCCCATCCAGTTGCGGGAGTGTAGGAAGTCATGGTCAAAGGGATGCAGCCAATCTCAGGGAAGACGGTTGTATAATGGCCTGATGACATCAAGCTTAGGTCAACAACAAACAGAGTGCTGCGCAATACTCACACAATACACTCTTTTTGCACTTGCACACCATGCTTTTCACAAAGAAAATATTTCAGAGCATCATTTAAACATTTGGGTCACAGAGATTACCAAAGAAAACATTTATTTAACTCATCGAGTGTTTTGCCATAGAGATAGTTTTGGTTTTATATTCAGAATTTCTGAGTTAAACATATCTTAGATGTGTACTAGATAATCAACAATAGAGATAATCCCTCACACAATTTGTAACATGTATTACTCAGTCTAATGGGTAGCTATCACTATGGCCATACGCAGGATCCACTCTAGACAATACAGTTTCTCCAAAGTTTTTCTATTTAAGTGGTGTCTTCTTAGGTGCTTAGCTAGCCTCCAGGAATCACCTCAAGAAAAACATGTGTAAAGCTAGTTCACGTTAAGATGAGGGGGAAATGCTAATAAAGCGAGAGAATATGTGTAACACTGCTCTCTCTACTGAACACAAAGATACAGTATGCTCCACTTAGACCAGGGGTGTCCAAACTTTTTTCATGAGGGCCACATACAGAAAAATATACGAAGGGCTGGGCCCCTCATATGCCTCATAAGTTCAGGTATAAGTTAGCAAAAATCAATCAAATGTAGGTAAATTATGCTTGTGAGAGTTGGCAGCTCATTCCTTAAAACAGAAGCCTCAGATTTATTATAATACTGAGAAATAGGAAGGGTATATTTCAAGCTTGTTATGAAAATAAGTTATTGAGTTTTTTTCTTATCAACTTAGATTTGTTAGAAGAAAAATTCAGCTTTAATTGACAGAATTTATTTGAAAAGTGGGCTTTTTAACACATTAATACTACTGTATAATATCTGTTTACATCTATATTTAAGAAGTAAAAGACGAACACAAGATTCATTTGAGGGCCATACTGCATTATATTTTTTGAATCTGCTGAGGGCCGATTCAAAGTGGTCCGCGGGCCGCATTTGACCCCCGGGCCGTAGTTTGGACACCCCTGACTTAGACGGTTAGGGTAAGAGAGATATGTAGTGCAAATACTCAATGTAAAATATAGTAAATTCTTACACAACACTTAAAAATTAAAATAGAAATATAAAAGGGGAAATATTTAGTTTGATATCTGAATTACAGTGCGGTCATCCTGCCAGACATTTCTGTGGATGGATGAAATTGTGTAGCAATCATAGCAGCAATATATGGCTAATCAGTGGCAGGTTACACTGTATAAAGAGCCATCATCTCTTCAGGTCTTGCCAAAATAAAACCAGATTATTTAGTTTGTATATTGTTATGTTTCCTCTTACCATTGTTTGGCAGTTCTCCATACCAGGTGTTGATAAGAGCACCCATTCCCCAGGAGGAAGAGGAGCCCATGAAAACCTGACCCATCAGTTTAGCATCAAAGGGAGCATGCATGGTAAGGAAGCTGGTATCCAGTGCTTTCTTCTTGCAAGATAATTTGCTCCAGTCAATCTCATAGTAGACTTTGTGAAAGGAAAAATAATGACAATAAATGGCTTCCTTTCCTGAGTCAACTCTAAAATCCTTGATTTAGTACTAGTGTGTACGAGTGACTTTTTTTATGCGTTGTTGTCCTTACAATTGGTAGTAACAGTAAAATCCCAACTTGCAGTATAACTGCATGCACATGCAGTATGAAGGTAAACATGCCACAATGCAGAAGCAAGTAAGTACCCATTTTAGGATGATGAGGATTTTACCCTTATCTGAATATGGAAGAAGTTGTATGAAGTCTGTATGTGATATTATGTTGTTTATAATCGATAAGTCAGGGAAGAAAATTAATCAAGTCAATGGTTTTTAAAAAGCCAAAAACAATTTTTTTAGGCTGAACAATAATTGCCATTTTATTTGGAGAAGTTACAGCAAATACATAACAAATAGAATGGATTAAAGATTTAGATTAAAACTAATCTTGAGAAGTATTTGCAGGAACACTTGACCCAGGGTTATATACCTGTTCGAAAAGCATCAGCTGGTCCAGAAATGCGGTCTGATTGCCAACAAGTTCAAAGTGTCTAACATGCATCCTCTGATCAAAAGCATCATAGCTTAGTGTTCCTGTGGACATGTACAGTCCATTAGCATCCATCTGAAAAAGAACCAGAGAGCAGAAATGAAGAAAAAGACAGGCATCCCTCGCCATGGGGCCATTCAGCAGAGATCATGGGGAACGTTTTTGTGTAGCATATAAGTTGACCCACCAGACTGAAGCTTCCACTCATCAGGTGTGGGACAACTGCAAAAAAGAAAGTAAAAAAGGTTTAAGAAAACAGCTTATCTATAAAATATCTAATTCATAAAATTGACAAACCATTATTAATAAGCTTAATAATAAATCATTTAAAAAATACAACTTTAGCTACCTAATTGATGTTTTGGTAATTAATACAAAGAAAAAAATATGTGATACATTTTTAAATAGTTCACCACAAGTTTGACTTTCAGACACAAACATGGTCATTCTAGAAACAGTTACAAGCAGCAGTATTGACCGAAATGACTGACTGGAGTAATGCCTAAATAACATAGATAAGGAACTCAACTGAAGTGCAAAAAATATGAAATACATTTATCCAAAACATAACTCTCTGTCCCCTCTGTCACGAACCTTGGAGTGACCTTCAATAGTGCTTTTAAATTCGATAAGCAGGTCAGCAGCGTAGTCAAAACGTGTTTTTTAAAATACGACTATTGGAGAAGTCGTTTTTATCTTTTAAAGACCTGGAAAGGGTTATTAAAGCCTTTGTTACCTCGAGGTTGGACTGCTGCAATGCTCTGTATGTGGGTAAGGACCAGGCGTCAATTAAACGCCTGCAGCTAGTGCAGAACGCAGCTGCACGTCTACTTACTGGCCACAAAAAGCGTGACCACATCACCCCAATTCTGGCCTCACTGCACTGGCTTCCAATTCGGTTCCGAATTAATTTAAACTCCTTTTATTTGTTTTAAAGCACTAAATGGCTGGCTTCGGCCTATATAGCTGAACTCCTCCAGCGCTACCCCCAGCCAGAGCTTTAAGGTCTGCTGACCAGCTGCTGCTGATAGTGCCCAAGACCAGGCTCAAAACCAGAGGGCACAGAGCCTTTGCAGCAGGCTCTGGAACACTCTGCCCCTCCATGTGAGGTCGGCCCAGACCCTAGGGAATTCAGAGGGAAAGGAGCAATTTTGAGCTCTGCTCTTAAAAACGGCTTTTTTTTAAGGTCATACGTCATACGTCAAACGCGTCATATTACATCACACAGGGGACACATCTCCGCTCTCTGACCGCGGGTATAGTAGAGTTGCGTTGAGTAGAGCGGTTGTGTTTTAAGGAGCTGGTATTTTTCGGTAGTTTTACATTGTATTTCACCATTTGTAATCATGGTGCAGTATTGTGTTTGTGCACTGTCAGGACATTGAGTCCACACACACA